AAAAAAAAAAAAAAAATGCTAGAGGTACTAAAAGGTGTTGAACTAAAAATCACATTTTAGGAAAATCCTTTTTAAACCTGATTTTTTTTTCCCTCCCAATTAAGTTTTTCTAACTTAATGGGGAACTGAGGCTGGAAGAGTAACAACATAAAAAGTCTGTTATATAAGACACTTCACCAAAGAAGACATTCAGGCAGCTGAAAAACACATGAAGAAATGTTTGTTATCATTAGCCAGTAGAAAAATGCAAATCAAAACAGCAACAAGATATCATCTCAGTCCAGCAATATTAAAAACAAACAAACAAAAAAAGCAGAAATCAATAAATACTGTTGAGGGTAGGGAGAGACTGGATGTCTCACACATTGTTGGTGGAACTGTAAAATGGAGAAACCTCTGTGGAAAATGGTGCTTCCTTAAAAAGCTGGAAATAGAAATATCATATGGCCCAGCAGTCACACTACAAGGTATACAGCCTGGAGAAATAAGAACTGTGACATGAACAGATAGATGCACATCTATGTTCATCACAGCACTATTCACAATAGTATAAAGATGCAAACAACCTAAATTCCCATTAATGGAGTAATGGATCAACTGTGGTACACATGCATAATGGAATACTATGTAACGATAAACATAGAGGACATTATGCTGAATGAAATTACAATAGTGCTATGAGGCCACTATTATAAGAAGTCAAGAAAAGGGTTTCACAAAAAATATTCCCAAATATTCTTTGAAGGTTGCTAGGGGTGGGTGGAGGAGGGAAGTTGAACTACTAAGTAGAGGATAAACAAATGTTGATTTGGATGAAGGGAATAAAATGAATTAATAAATAAATAAAAGGATGCATAATCCAGACAGATTTGTATAGGAAGTCTTGCTCCCTTCCCCCCCAAAAAATCTGTTGTATAAACATGCCAGAGTTGAATCTGCAAATAAGTTTTAATTGTTTACATAGTTAACAATGATCTCTATTCCTATTAATTATCCTCTCAGAAGGTACTGTCATATCTGTCTCTACAAATAGATATGATACCTAGAAAATTCTTGTTTTTGGCTCAAATACTATAAAAACACATCTCAATGTTCTCTTGAAAGCTGGCTTAACTTTTCCTTTACAATCAATTTATGACAGGACTTTTTCACTATTTATGTACTAAGAAAGTGCTCAAAAAGACTCAACATTTATAATTAAGCTCTGTGTCTGTAAGAAATAGTAATTCACTCCCTAAGTGTTGTAATTATGGTCAAATTTCCATAGTGAAAATGACCATGAGCCTGGAACTGAAGAAATAAGGGTGGTAGAAATACAAAACATGTACTTACTCCTAATCTTTGAACAATTTCCCTTATGTCTTCAGCACAGTTATCCACTGCAGATATAAGGATACATTCTCCTCTTTCGTAAAACACCTTGATACTCATTAATCCAGATGTCCACCCAATAACATCCCTGCAGGAGCAGTTAAATACAACATTCTTGGAATCCTTTTCAATCAACATTATAAACTCATTGGAAATTCCAAGAAGACATTCAATGTCAGAAGACTGGCCAAAGTCCCTTGCGATTACATGCCACATGATTGCGCCAACGCTATATAAATGTGCGTCCTTCCTTGGCTTTACTTTCTCCTTCTTCTTTGCACCCAGTGTAATGAAACTGAATTTCACAGAGGTATCCACTGTGGCAGTCGTGACAAAGTTCTCCGCCAGATCTTTCAAGTACTCTTGTCTTGTTCTAGTGGCCATCGCCCGAAATTTTTCTGATTTATGGGCTGCATTTTCTGCATTGATTACTTTGGCTAAGAGGAAGTCCCGAAACACTGCTGATTTTGGAAAAGTTACACCTTTAGGAATTGGTGGACCAAATGATGGCACATCTTTTGATCTAGAAACTCCAACACTGGGAAAGAGAGAAAAAAACAAATAAGATTAGCCATGATACCATATTATTTACCTTCAGAAATCTGATATATACCCACACTTTTTACTTAATCCATCTATCTTGATGTAGCTTCTTGTTTTCTTATTTTCTGGGCATCTTAAATTTTCTTTAAAAATTTATGTTATTAAAAATTTTTGTTTTAAAACAAAACTTTTCAAACTCAGTTAGTTGATAGGGGTAATGGATCCCCAATGGGACAGGACAAGCAGTCCCAGATGGTAGCTGGTTGGTGAAACCTCATTCTGTGGCTGATGATCCCTGAGAAAGCTGGTAACAGTTCCAACAGAACTGAGTCTAGCCTCATCATACTTATAGGGTCAACAACAATTTTTTTAAAACTTTTTACTGTAATTTGGGTGAAATTTTACAAAGCAGATTTGTTTTACATTCCACAGTTCATACACATTTTGTTTTGTGACACTGGTTACATTCCCTGCAGTGTAACAGCTCTCCTTCCACTTCCTCCCTGAGGTCAGTTACCCTTTCCCTTTGTCCTTCTTTTCTATGCATTCCTCCCTCCCTCCCTTTCTCCCTGTATAAATACTGCCCTTCTGATGTCCCATGGTTGATTGTTCTGAGCAGTGCATCTCCCCAGTGCAGGTGTTCAGGTTCTACATAGGCATGTCTATTGTTTGGCTGAGTTAAGACATGTGAATGAATTTAATTCCAGACCTGAAGGGACTCAGGATTGGTCTTGTGGGTTTCACTAGTCTCTATTAGACCAATAAGCCTGGTTCCTTTTATGAGTTTGAGTTTTTTCCCACTGTTTTCTTCCACTCTATCCAGAATCTCCAATTTTGATCCTTTTCAGAGTGGTTGGCATTGGAACCGGGCACCATCTAGTTCTTCTGGTCCCAGGGTCCTACAGACTTAAGACTCTCATGGTCCACAGTCCTTTGGACTGTTTCCACATGTCTTTGATTGTCTTCACTCTTCTTTGCTCCACATGTGGAGAGAACAATAGTAGCATCTTAGATAGCTGCTTTACACAGGGTCATATTTTGAAAGTTTCACTTTTTTTAAGGATATGCTCACTTCACATGATTCTACTTTAGAAATATAAATGAAGATTTTGTGGGAGAAATATTTTAAGAGATTTCATGAAGAAATCAAATGTATATTGATAGCAATAGCCATCTTAATTTATCGAAACTAATAATGGTCCCCTGTCGGAGCTCTGGTGGCGTAGTGCCTAAGGCATTTAACTGCTAACCAGAAGGCTGGTGGTTCAAACCCACTGGCCACTCCTTGGAAGGAAGATTGGGCAATCTACTTTCGTAGAGGTACCACCTCAGAAACCCAAGGAGGGATCGCTATGAGTTGGATCTGACTCAATGGCAGTGAGCAGGAGCAGTCAGACAGGAGCTCTAAGGAGCTCTAGTGGTATAATGCCTAAGGCATTTTGACTGCTAACCAGAAGGTTGGCAGTTCAGACCCACCACCATCTCTGTGGAAAGAAGATGGGGCAATATACTTCCATAAAGATTTATCACCTCAGAAACTCAATACGGGTGCTATGAGTTGGAATCAGCCTGATGGTAGTGAGTTTGGTTTTGAGTTCAGTCAGACAGGAGTTTTAGCTGTCTTAAGCCCTTTTTTTTAAAAAAATAAGATCAACTATAAAGAGTAAACTAATGAATTAACTAATGATCAGAAGAGTTGATATTGAATGAATCCACAACATTTACAGCATCTGCTTCCCTAATCTTATCAGTAACAATTGCTGAATAGGCTACTGCAGATCAAGAATTCTTACTAATTCCACATCTTCTTTGGCTGATATTTTCTTTTAGGATAAACAAATGAAGTAATTTTTCCTTCTTTTCATCATCAAGGAAATCCTGGTGAATTAAGGATTAGAAATATTTTATTGAATTTTTTTTTGTCAGGTGTGAATTCATGTTCTGGTCGTTGATTAGGCTCTGAAACAATCCCAGGCCTCAGCTTCTCTTAACTTTCTTTTTACTATTTTATTGGTTCTCTAGAGCTGGTATAACAGAAATATCACAAGCAGATAGCTTTAACAAACAGGAATTTATTTCCTTATAATTTAGAAGGCTAGAAGTCTGAGTTCAAAGTGCTGGCTCTAGGGGCTGGGTGAAGGCCCCTTGACCTTGGGCTTCAGCTCTGCCTACTGTTCCAGGCCCACTAGAGTGGGAGACTTTTTCTGACTCACATGCAGCTGCTGGCTGCTGAAACTGCAAACCCAAGATTGACAAGTAAAATGGCACAGTCCCAAGATTAGCAGACAATACAATAGGCCACTAGTCAGCTACAGAAACAATCCCAAGATCAGCAGGCAACATGGCAGGCCACTGAGATGAAGACTCAGCCAAATGCAGGATCCAGATGTGCCACAAGCTACAGACCTTTTCCAAAGTTTCTCCTTATATACAGGAAGCAGGACACACCCTGAAGGCAGCTACTTAGCTGCTCATAGCAGATTCCACCAAAGAGTCCATTACCAATCTCATCATGGAAAATAACAACATCCAGCTGTCCAGCCACTCAAACCATGGCCCAGGCAAGTTGACAAACAACCTTAACTACCACAACTATACACTCAGCAGTGGACTTAACCAGCTGTAGGGCATTGAGCATGGAGAGAGGTAACAGATGAGATGGAGCCCCAGTTGAATGGAAGGGGAGGGGGGGATTGCTTCCTTTGGGGATAGAGCAAACTCAATCATGAACAGAGCCTGGTGATGTTGGATGGTGGTGTGTGTGCTAAACTGGGGAAAGGGAGGGAGACTTGACTTGTGTCCTTAACATGAAAGGAGAGTCCTAAGTAGGCTTCAGAGGTTGGAACTGCAGGGATCAACCTCACAATTGACCCATCCTCCCTTCACTACCATCCTTAGAATGGACACTTGGCTTTTCCACTCAACTCTGTGGATCTCAAACTACTCTGTGACTATATCTTGAATTCACTCACTAAAGTGAGTTACTAAAGCATTAGAAGGTGCTGTGGTGACATAGGGGTTAAAAGCATTTAGTTGTTAACCAAAAGGTTGGTGGTTTGAACCCACCAGCCACTCAATGAGAGAAAGATGGGGCAATCTGCTTTTATAAAGATTTATAGCTTTATAAACCCTATGGGGCAGTTCTACTCTGTCCTGAAGGGTAATTACAAGTTGGAATTGAACTGATGGCTGTGGCTTTTTATTTTTTAAAGCATTAGGGAAAAATTTCCTATATCCAAAAATTTTCAAGAACTGCTCTTAAGGTGAAACTCCAATTCTTCACTTTCCTCAATTCTGTGGGATGGTGCAGTTACCTAGCATCAAGTGTCTCCAGCATTTAAAAAGACAATACTGTGGGAAGGGAAGGGAAGGAACACTGTCAAATAGGAAGAGACAAGTATTCATTTGGGTGAAGAGAGGGGCAATGTACCAAATGTGAGTGATCAACATGGTGGCATTGAGGAAGAGGAAGATGTAAGAGGTCCATGGCAGGTACAGACAACAACCAAGTGCATGGATACTAGGAATGCAGCTGGCTGTGGTGGCCCTGGCTACTAGTGCTCTTGCTGGTTCAGCCACTTCTTGATCATTTATAGCTTGTCATCATTGCTGCTGCTGCCTGGAGCCCACAAGCGTGGAATATATATATATATATATATATATATATATATATATATATATATATACACACACACACCACACACATACACACACACACACACACATACATACACACACATATATAAGTGTGTTATGTTGTTGTTGTTAAGTGCCGTCGAGTCAAACCTGACTCACAGCAACCCCTCCTTTGGTTTCCGAGGCAGTATCACTATGGAAGTAGATTTCCCAACCTTCCTTCTGAGGAGTGGCTGGTGGGTTTGAACTGCCAGCCTTCTGGCTTGTAGTCAAGTGCCTTAGGCACTACGCTACCAGAGCTCCTAAGTGTGTGTGTATATGTGTGTGTGTGTATACACACACACACACATATATATATATTTATACATATACACTATGTATATATATATACATACACACATACATATGTGTGTTGTTGCTGTTGCTATGTGCCATCGAGTCGGACCTGATTCATAGCGACCCCTCCTTGGGTTTCCCAGGCAGTACCACTATGGAGCAGATTGCCCCATCTTCCTTCCAATGAGTGGCTAGTGGGTTTGAACTGCCAGGCTTCTGGCTAGCAGTCAAGTGCCTTAGGCACTATGCTACCAGAGCTCCCACATATGTGTGTGTATGTGTGTGTGTGTATATATATATAGTGTGTATATATATATACATATCTACACATATATATGTGCATGTGTGTGTGTGTGTGTATATGATTTTTCTACTGGGTTGAAATAAGAATGTGTTCCAGAACTCATTAATTTACCCAAATAATTTGATACCGTTTATTGATGATTGAAATATAAAACCTTTCAGCTCCTAACACAGAAAATACCACCCTGAGCAGATATGTGGGATTACTAGGAATTCTTGGTCTGCAGTGGCTATTCAGTAATTGTTATTGGTAAGAGTAAGGGGAGCAGATGTTGTAGATGCTGGGATTTATTCAACACTCATTCTTCTAATCCTTTATAATAAAAAGGATTTTATAATCCATAAATAAAAAGATGAGCATTCTTTAATATGCAAGTGAAAGTGTCAAGACAATAAAAGCAAAGTGGTTGAGAACACAAGTACAGACTATGGAGTTAGTCTTTGAATTCCAGTTCTACCACATACTAAGCAACTCTCAGCTAGTTACTCAATCCCTCAGTGCCTCAGTTTCCTTAGTCCGTAAATGGAGATTAAAATAGGGCAATCCTCAAAAGCCTCTTGTGAGGATTAAATTATCATTATCATAGTCACAATCAATCATTATTTTAAAAATTGATTAATTCTGTCATCTAACTTTTGTTAAAAGGACCTACTTGTTATATTTTCTGAAACAGAAGTCATTATTCTCCAGAGACATCTCCCAACTTTTAATTGATTTTT